ATCACACAATAAATCAACATGTTGGATTTATCTCTATGAGATTTATCCCAATTATGTTTATTGGATATCAATATATATTTTATTTCAGCCCAAAGCCCAACAACAATTTATTTTAATCAAAACAAATTTTGTTTAATTGAATATTTAATTCAATAAATTTTAGGGTATATTTTGGGGCGTTACATTTCTTCCCCCCTTAAAGGAATTTCGTCCTCGAAATTCTTCTAAGGTGAAACGTTCAACATTTCGTAGTGATCTCACTTAATCATGACTGTGTCATGCTCAATGGGTTAAACCATAATTACGTCATTATCCATGTAATCTCAAACTGTCAATGTTATCAAACTCGTTCTTTCTTCAAGAGGTTAACAATCTTAGATTAAGCAAGGTATCCAACAATCCTTTTGCGGGTTCCTGTTCAAATTCAACATCCATAACTTGGGTTCCTTTGCAGGGTATAACATTGTATTTTGGAACATATTTGACATACTTCATTCATTCACAAGTCTCGATTAGTCAACAACATTCTTTCTGTGATTGAAAGTCCTTCAGTAGCATTTGTAGTTTCAAGTTTGCGATAGTTGTAGTGGAAGATTTGGATGTTGTTTAATTCATATGTCATAGCGTAATCTTCATCCAAAATATCCTCACATCGTTCTCATAGTTCAGCAATGATTCGTAAGTAACATCAATTAGCTTTTATTGGTTCATGATTTCCAGAATATAGGATTTGTCATCATTTATGAGGAGGTACTGTCGATCGGTTGTATAGTAGTTCGTCATTCATCGACCTTGTGTTGAAACATTTCTTCATTCATCTTCATGGTAGCTCTCATTTATCGTTAATGAGTCTTTGCATTAATTCGTATCCAAAGGTGATAACATAAGAGTGGCGTTTCATATACGTCTTGTCGTATTCAACTTTCTTCATCGATTTTGGAATATACGTTCTTGATAATGACGGGTTTGATGTAACACTATGGTTGATTTCATTTCGAGTGAAGAAGGAAATATATTCGGTATGAGATTCAATTCACGAATTCATAAAGTAAGAAATCTTACTACTCTTACTCCAATATAATATATAGGTTGGGGATTTTCGCTCTGAATAATTTTAGCTTGATCCTTGTGACGTCATTTCTTCTCTAGTCGTTGCACATATATTCCTTTGTTAGGGTCAAAACAGAGTTTCTTGATAATAATATTCATAGATAACGTAATTGCATTAACTGTTTCGCAGCAGTTCCCTAGAGAGGTTT